GGGGCGTGGGCCGGGGGGCCGGCGGCGGGGAGGCGGGGGCCTGTCAGCCCCCCGTACGGCAGGATCCAGACTCCGGCCCGGAATACGAGGCGCTGCCGGCTGGAGCCACTGTCACCACGCACATGGTGGCGGGCGCCGTGGCAGGGATCCTGGAGCATTGCGTGATGTACCCGGTCGACTGCGTCAAGGTGAGACCTGGACCGGGGGCTGCGAACCCGACCTGGGGCTGACCCGACCCTGAGCCCTGTTTAGAGCCAGAATCCCGACTGAGACCCGGAGCCGACGGGTTCCTTCCTGGCTTCTACCTCTACGCACGATTTGAACCGGTACTCCGTGCAAGCAAAGTCCTGGCTGGGAGTTGAGCTCAGTCAGGAACCAGGACTTATTTCTAACGGTCAGTGAGATCTGAATCGAGACTCGGAGCAAAAATCTTGTCAGCCAGAGACCTGATACCGCCTGGGACTAAGCAGGAATGGGGTGGGATGGGGGATCCCGAAGCATAGGTAAGTCTACAACTCGATTAAGGTAAAGCCAGCCGGCATGAAGTCAGATCGTGAACTTGATCTGATGGCTTGGCTTGAGATGTGCTTCGGGTCGGTGCTTTTACAAGCTCCTTGCTGCGTCTTCCCTTAAAAGTGACTGGGCAGGAACTGGAATCTGGGATCTCTCAGCTAGATAAAAGTACGTATTCAGTCTTAACCCGTGAGTGGTTTAAAATCATTTGTGCAGTCAAAAATGAGAGCTCCAGGCTGGGGTGGATATGGGAAAGGGCATGTTAAGGAAAAGGTTTCGGTTTCTCTGTGAAGCAAGACTGACTGATAGCCCATCTATTTCCTGACCGTAAAAATTGTGCTGGGGTTAAGATTGTGTGATCGAATCAGCCCCTACACAACAGAGCTGAAACTAACAGTCTTTTTCTTTGGGCACCTGAATTTGACAAAAAGGGAAAAGTGTGATGATATTAGAGAGTAGATGTAAACGTGGAAGAAATAGAATGAGATTATCAGGGTATGGTCAGCGTTGAACGTAAAACCAATTGCATCCACAACCAAGCAGGATGGTGGTGGACATCCAGGTCAGAAGCAGCCTGAGTGAAGATGGAAACGTATTTTTCCTCACTGTTGTGCTTTAGTAGAGGCACCAGCTGCTAAAGGTGAAGTCTAAACTGAAGGGGAAGTAACTTCGAGGGGGTTGTTGAAATAACTGGTAAGAACGGTGTTTTCTTGACATCAATTAGTACAGGCAATATCCTCTCAGCTCCTGTTTTCTCAGATGAGGAGAGCAATGACTACAGCCCTGGAAAAATCAGTTTCTTCTGCTTGCTTCTGGTTTCAGTACTATTTTACAATTTCACTAGTAAAGTGGATGAGGAAATAAGGCAAGTGCTCCTGACACTTTGTGAATGGCATTGAGTTGTGGTGAGGAAATATGAAAGTGCTCCTGACGCTTTGTGAATGATGTTGAGTTGGCCAGTGTATCTCAGCACATTACAGGATAACTCCTAACTAGAGCCATACCCACTGAAAAACGTGGTCCAGTGCACCTGACTGAGGTGAGCATTAGCATTTTAAATGTCTTTGTCAACAGAGAATTAGACGGTGAACTGGACTCATGGCTTGTTCTTTGGGTAGGAGCTTTTGCCAGACAACTTGCTGGGTCTTCTCTTAAAAGAAATAATAAAGCCTGTGTGAGAGAAATAACTAATGAAATAATAATTATAAAATGAATATATAACAGTGATTCAGACTTCTAGGAAATAGACTTTAGGTTGGATGTCATAAGTTAATAACATTTTACTAACATATCCAAAAACTAGTAAGATCTAGCTGCAGAGTAACCCCCCACACTCTGGTTTTTCAAGACAGGGGGTTGTTCTGTGAAGCTTTGGAGCCTGTCCTGAATCTGTAGACCAGGTTGGCCTCTAACTCAGAGATCTGCCTGCCTCGCCTCTCGAGTGCCGGGATCAAAGGTGTGCACCACCACTGACCCGCAACCTCTCCCTCTTAACTGCAAGTACAGCACAGAGTCTAGGGTGCTATGTTTCAGGACAAGTATCAGATGGAAAACAGATCAGAGAAAGCCATGAAAATTATTTAATGGGATGGAAAATACATTGTGATAATATGACCATCTTAAAAATGTTCCTACTGGGATTGGGGAGATGGCTCTGTTAGCCTGCTGCACCCACATACTCATCTGGGCATGGTGGTGCACATCCGTAACCCCAGTGTTGGGAAAGTAGAGATAGGCAGATCCTTGGAGCTCACCAGGTAGCCCATGTAGCTAAATCCATGAGTTCCAGGCTGTAAGAGATCCTGTCTCAAAAGATAATAAGGTGGCTTGGTATGGTGGCCCTTGTCTAATTCCAGTACTCAGGAGGCAGAGGAGGCAGATCTGTGTGTTTGAGGCCAGCCTGGTTTATGTAGTAGGACCACCTCAATAAATAAACAAGGTGGAAAGTGGTTAAGGAAGACACCAAGATGGGTCTGTGCCCCTCACCCCACATACACAAAGGTACACATACCCACTTAAACATGTACGGGCGCCACACAGAAAGAGGAGAAACGCTACTGCCACCTCAGTTTGACGGTTGTATTGTGTTACAAGGTGTTGGGACACTAGTTCCTTACTCTGTAATACTGTAGAGAGTAAACATTGGCTTGTAAACATTTTTGTAAATTTCTTTGTTAGACATGCTTCTAGAGCTGGCTGCTGTGACCAACTCCTTTAATCCCAGCACTCGGGAGGCAGAAGCAGAAGGATCTCTGAGTTTGAGGCCAGCCTGGTCTACAGAGTGAGTTCCAGGACAGCCAAGGCTACAGAGAGAAACCCTGTTACAGAAAAACAAACAAACAAAAGAAATAACTCTAGAATATCCTTAATGGGGGCACATCTTTGTCCTTTGACAAGACTCAGTCAACAGAGACCACCGAGAGTCAAATATGGCACATCAAACTGGGCCATACTGCCTGCTCTTGAACACAGGGAGGGGCTGGCAAACCAAACCCCGAGTGACTTCTAGGCCTGTAAATTGAGGGGACACAGAAGGGCGTCCCAAAGGTGTGCTGCATAGGCAGGAAGCTCTGTCTAGCCTACCAAGGTTAACTATTTTGGTTAATAGTTCCTCATCACCTGAATATATCTTAGGATTTGCATTTTTAAAGAATTGACAGTACAGTATTGCAGACTTACCTCTAAACCCTACACTAAAGAATTGGTTATTTGATTTGAAGGACAAATGCCTAAGAGTCTTCAAAAATGCAAAGGTTTATCTTAGAAGAATCATTTCTCCTTGCTCTTAATGCTGGGAATTTGATAATGAGAAGGTAGCCTGGTATGAGTTAGTGTCCCACCGTTTAATGTTTTTGTGCAGGCATGAATGAAACTCAAATCCCTGCTCTTAGAAAGGGCTTCCTGGTTCATTTGTACCCTGGTGGCTTTTCCCAGGGTGGTGAAGAGGAAAAGCCGCCCAACCAGACCCTAAGACTAGCCTGGAGACAGGTGTCAGTGTTGGAGCTGAAGAGACACCACAGTGCTTGCAAATGAATGCTGACGTTATCTCTTGGCATGCAGGCCTGTGGCTCCCTAGCCACTTAATCAGGGTCAAGTTGACTTAAAATATCCTTGGGAAGGACCATGGGAAGTCAGCATAGCCTTGCTAGGCCATGGTTATCCAGCCTGCTATTTCCAAGATCATAATGATCATAATAGGGAGCTTTAGAAATCCAGATAAATCGCAGTTTCCTTTTCTGGGCCTCAGAGGCAAGCAGCAGACTTTATCTGTAGGGACAGGCTCTGAAACCCAAAGCAGCAGAACCCTTCTGAGAGTCTACTGGCTGCTTCCCCCGCGCAAAGGACTGTGGGGCCCTGCAGCGGCAAAGCAGGTATCCCGTAGTGCTTTGCAGAAGGAAGGAGCAGAGAGAAACCTTTCTTGAACTTCGGGTGTAAAGGGTTATCTCTGAACATCCACCAGTGAAAGGTTAGGAAATGTTGTCTCTGACTTGTATTTTTTTTTCTCACACCTCATCACGATAACTAAGTAATCAGTGAATGCCAGATGTTCTTTCCTTCCCAGCACTGTGTAAAGTACTTAACACGGCTCATTATTTCACAGGTGAAGAAAGGCCTGGAGAGCAGTTAGGTAACTTGTCAAAGGTCACAGAGTCTAAGTGGCAGTCGTGATTTGAATTCAGTCTGTGACTCATCAACTTTCCTTATAGCTTCCCAAAATCAGGTTTCAAGAGCCAAGCCAGCTAAAGAATGACAGAGTTCACCTGTGAGTGTATAACCTTGAGAGTAACATCTGAATGTGCCATATAAATTACTATAGATCAGAAAAACCTCAGTAAACACACCTTTATTAGTGTGGCTAAGGACTGAAGAGTTGCCCATGTGAGTGATGTATACCATGCTGCCATGACCTGTCAATTCTTGGATATGAACATTTAGAATCATGTTTTAATAGTCAAAACCCTTACATTTATAGTACTTTGCAAATGATGGTTTTTACATGCTTTGTTTCTTTTAATCCACATAGCATGGTAATTTTCTTTTTCTATGATTATTTTTTAGATTGTTTTATTTTACGTGTATGGGTGTTTTACCTGCATATATGTCTGAGCACCCCGTGAATGCCTGGTGTGCATGGAGATGAGAAGGGCATCGGAGTCCCTGGGACTGGAGTAACGCATGGTTGTGAGCTGCCATGTTGGTGCTGGGAATCCAACCCATTCCCTCTGCAAGAACAAGTGCTATTAACTGCTGGGCCGTCTTTCTAGCCCTGCATGAGGTTCACAATTCTAGAAGTTGAGTGACATAGCTAAGATTGAGCATGTCTGCCAGAGCTGATTCTCAGACTAGGCTTTCTGACTCAGACCTCACCAAAGCACCTAACCCCTCCTCACCTTTTTTTTTTTTTTTTGAGACAGGGTTTCTCTGTGTAGTCCTGGCTGTCCTGGAACTCACTCTGTAGACCAGGCTGGCCTCAAACTCACAGAGATCCACCTGCCTTTGCCTCCCGAGTGCTGGGATTAAAGGTGTGCGCCACAAGACTTACGTAGCTTTTCTTCAGTGTTAGGTAATGGTATTTGTTTTTTCATACTACAGCTTTTCATATGTTCTTAGAGATTTCATCATTCTGCAGAAAGAAGATTTATTGGCTCAAAAATATGGGCATCCATATTCATTTTTATATTCGAAGTATTTTCTGCCTGGGGCCTGGGGCCTGGGGCCTGGGGCCTCTACATAGGTATGCACTGTCATTGAATTAGATTTAGATGTGTTTGTAAAACGTTGGGAGTAACTTCCGCATAGTCCAGTTTCCTCTTGGGAATGAAGAGTTTTCTGAGGCCAGAATCTTTCATCACTGGTTGCCAAATGTGCCCTTGACTCCAGCAGAGCGCTGTGGTTTCTGAATCCTTCTGTAGAAGACTGGTTTCAGACAGACTCTCGGAAGTGTGTGTTGTTAAGCCACCAAGTCCAGATTAAAACCACACCCTTTAAGTAAAGCACACTGTGTATTTGGGTGCTTTTGAGAACTGGAAACCAAATGTCCATTGTGATACGGTGATATGTGATATTTCTGATTGAAAGGCTGGTAATTAACATTTAAGCATGCCGCGTTTTCTTAGTAGCAGGCAGGAGAGAATAACCCCAGAGGAATGTGGATCGCTTGCGGCTAACCAGGACCTGTTCATCTGGTTAGTTCGTCCATGCTCTTGAGAAAAGGCCTTATTCTTGGATCCTAGTTGGCTAACTTGAACCAGGAGGATTCAGGCTTTTAAACCTAAACTGAATCTAGTGATTGATATGAAGCAGGAGTTTAAATGTCCCTGGTCATCAGCTGCCCCCATTGACTCACCCGTGGCTGTGCGTGTTATTTTCTGAACTGGTGTAGACGTGCGTGTGACAAAAGATTCATTCATCCACTCAGCAAACACACCCTACAGGCCCCTGTGGACCAGTAGCCGGCCTTTGCTTCTAAACTGCTGTGCTCCATGCTGCCTTAGCTTTGAAATATATTAAGATTTTTGTGTAAAGACATACTTCAGAGAAGGTCTGATGAGGTGGATTTCCAATTTTCTTGTAAAGATTTATCTTACTACTTCAAAAATTGTATCTAATATGTGTTTGTGTCGGGGGAGAGTATGTACACATGGATTCCAGAAGACAGGCATTGGATTCCCTAGAGCTGGAGTTACAGTTATGAACCCCCCAACATGGGTAACTGGGAACTGAATTCAGGTCCTCTGAAAGGGCAGTGGAGGTCAGAGGACCGCTTGTAGGAATCAGTTCTCCTTTCCCCATGTGGATTTCAAGGATCAAACTCAGGTTGTCAGGGTTGGTGGCCGGTGACTCTACTCTTTCTGTGAATTTTGTGGCTGTTCTCCAAGTGTCTACCACCCACACTCTGCTGCCAGTCATTAATCTTTGAAGGTTCTGTTTCATAGAGACTGGCTTTCATTGCCAAGGCCATTTTGAGAATCCAGTCCACTTAGATAAGTCTGAGTGGTCCTTGAGTTTGAAAGGTTAGTTTGGATTCCTCATCTCCACAGTTTGGGGCCAGGCTTCTCTCCTAGGAGCAGCATCTGTTGGGAATGCTATTTCTATCAAGACTTTAACATGCAGACCCAGCTGCCAAAGCCAAATGCTCTGAAAAGATGTCAAAAGGTGAGCCCCCCTCGGTTTAGTCAGGGTATTATGTGGTCAGGAAGTAGGGCCAGGGCTTACCTTTAGAAAGAAAGCACCGAGGGTGCTCTAGACAGTAAATATTTGAATTAAAGGTTTATTTTTATTTTTCATTATGTGTGTGCGCCTGTATTAGGGGTATGTGCATGTGAGTGCAAGTAACCAGAGAGGCCAGAGAAGAGTGTTGGATCCCCTGGAGCTGGAATTACAGGCATTTAAACCACCCAGCGCAGGAACTGAACTCAGGCCCTCTGCAAGAGTAATGCATGCTCTTAACTACTGCACCATCTGTCCAGCCCTGATCTCCAAACTTTGTTAAGGTGAAAAAGCAACCCTGGATCTCACGCTTGGTATTTATTGCTGAGATAGTGGATCATTTGGAGTTGGAGGATGTTGCCAAGAGGCAGTGTTCTTAAAGGATCTTCTCAAGGGTGTTCTGCTTTTTGGCTATGGAGGACTAGATGAAGAAAAGTCCAAGGCTTGGAAAGATGAGTCATAGATTTGGGAAGAAGTAAAAGCTGGATACGAAGGATCACTCCCACAGGCTTGTCTGGTGTCCAGGGCCTGTGTGATGGGGCGGACGAGAAGTTGGAATCACTGACTTTGCCTTTTTTGCTGTAATTTCAGACCCGGATGCAGAGTCTACAGCCTGACCCAGCCGCCCGCTATCGAAACGTGTTGGAGGCCCTCTGGAGAATTATAAGAACAGAGGGCCTGTGGAGGCCCATGCGGGGGCTGAATGTCACAGCAACAGGCGCGGGGCCTGCCCACGCCCTCTATTTTGCCTGCTACGAAAAGTTAAAAAAGACATTGAGTGATGTAATCCATCCAGGGGGCAATAGCCATATTGCCAATGGTATTGAGCCTTCCTGTGCTGGTCCCCCACTTCCCCAACTCTCTGGGCTTTGCTGCTGTCAGTGCTTCCCAGTCTCAGCATGGTTTGGAGCTGCAGCTTTGGGCTGGGGTAGGCCAGATTATAGGGGAGGGACTGCCAAACCTCATGTGCTTGGACAGCGGGCTGCTTCAACCCCACTCCTCCTTTGGGGCACCTCAACAAAGGTCACAGTAATCTCCCTTCCCTACCAGCTTGACTTTGCTCTCATCTCCCTGGCATCAGCTTCTAATGCCTGGTAATGTGGAGACACACTCATACCCCCACTATGTGTTTCTTGGTAGTTGGGTGGTAGCCTGCGTCTCAAGGCAGGGTTGGAGGTGACCCAACCGCTCAAGGAAGACTTAATGGAGCCCCAGCTCTTCACCTCACCTTTTCAGGATCCCATGTCATCAGAGGCAGTTGGTGTTGATGAGGACATGACAGCCCTGACAAGTGAATGGGGGTGGGGTCAGGGACTGTTTGGAGAATCCAGATGCTTTACAGGTTGGGTAGAAATAAAGGAAAAAAATAGCAACCCAGGGTTTGAAGGTGGAAAGCCACGTTGAGTGGAGAGCAGGGTATAGTGGGTCAGGACCAAAGGAGAAGGAGTTTTCCAGGCCCCAGGATAGGAAGCAGGTTAGACCGAGGCTCTATCTACCTGGCTTCATTCTCCCTGCAGTGGTGGCCATTGCTGTGTGGCATGCCTTGCCAGAAGTGTATCTGCTTCCTGCCTGGGCATGACTGCTCTTATTCTTAGAATATCTATTGCCATATTTTCCATATTTTTGCCATATTTTCTTTGCCCCTTTTGGGCCTTCCTATCAGATGTAGAATGTGCAGTGACGGCCTTTTTAAGTTTGGGGTGCGTCTTCCATTCTGGGAGCCGGAGCTCAGGAGCAGTGGGTTCTGAAGCCACCTCTTGGACTGCCTCTTACCATGCCTTTCCTCACTCTGTCACAGCCACTCACTCTTACCTGGGGCCTCAGTGACATGCTCACCCTCTTGGCCTTACATGTGGCAGTTGTTTTCTCATTTGCAGGTGCAGCCGGATGTGTGGCAACATTACTTCATGATGCAGCCATGAATCCAGCGGAAGGTAAAGATTCTTTAACCGTTCTTCTGGGCAGCTACAGCTTCATGCCTTGGTTCTAGTTCTACCTTGCAAAGAAAAGCAGAGCACAGTTTTTATGGGGAATCCTCCCATTTATCTTGGTCTACCACTAGAGGGCGCTCCCTCCATATGTGTGGTGCTTGAGAGGACTTGTTGAAGCAGCAGAGTCTGGGATTTAATTTATCTTTGAGGCGTTCCCGGAAAAGGTGATGGCTCTGTTGGCCGAGTCCTGGGCTTCCCTAGAAGTCCCCTTTGTAGTATGTTTGATCTCTAATTTGTATAAAATTATTTTGTGTTTCTCAAGGTGGATGTTAACATTTTAAAAGTTAAAGTATTGCATTTCTTACTGGAATGTAAACAAAAGTGAAAGATTAAATTGTGTAGTTTAACCTTTCTTTGCTACTAGGGTATTAGCTTTTTAGGTGGGGAGAAATTCTCCAAAAACATTCTGTGAGAATTGAGGTGATCACCAAATGTGAGGGGCCAGTGTAGCTGCCACATTCCCCCAGTTCAGTTTCTCCACGTGGGGACAAAGAGAGGGCTAACGTCAGCTAGAGGTGCCCAGAACTTAAGCCATGGTGTCTGCCTAATGGGACGGGAAACTTGAGGAACTGAAGCCTACACTTTTTGAATAAGGGTTGTAGTTTCTTCTTGGTAGCATTTATTTTTCCTCCCTTCTCAATTTTAAGAGTTCATATCCGAGGAGTGGAATTGCTACTCAGTTCATTACTGTGTTCACTTCCACTGAGTCATCTGTTACTGGGAAAGATAAAAATAATAATAATAGACAGGCCAGATCTTAATTTCCCAGAGACTCTCTGGGGTTACTAAACTGTAGATACACTGAGTATTAATTGCCTGGCTTTAAAGAAATCCTACTGGGAACAGGCTCTTTTTTTTTTTTTCTTTTTCTTCATACTAACCCTCTGGCTATCCTTCCCCCAAAATAAGAGAAACACAAACGCTTAACAGGGATCTTACTCATCTTTTTCTCCTTCCATCCCGTTGGCTCTGACCTGCCGTCTCGGAACCCTGGATGGGGATACTCTGTGTCACTGGCCGGCTGCTGTTCCGCTCTCCTCCTCTTGCTCCTCGATGGCATGTCCAGTGGTCAAGCAGAGGATGCAGATGTACAACTCACCGTACCACCGGGTGACAGACTGTGTACGGGCAGTGTGGCAAAATGAAGGGGCTGGGGCCTTTTACCGCAGCTACACCACCCAGCTGACCATGAATGTCCCCTTCCAAGCCATTCACTTCATGACCTACGAGTTCCTGCAAGAGCACTTTAATCCCCAGAGACGGTACAACCCCAGCTCCCACATGCTCTCCGGAGCCTGTGCAGGAGCCGTAGCGGCCGCCGCTACAACCCCACTGGACGTCTGCAAAACACTGCTCAACACCCAGGAACCCCTGGCTTTGAACTCAAACATTACAGGACACATCACAGGCATGGCTAGTGCCTTCAGGACGGTTTATCAAGTAGGCGGGCTGACTGCCTACTTCCGAGGGGTGCAGGCCAGAGTCATTTACCAGATCCCCTCCACGGCCATTGCGTGGTCTGTGTATGAATTCTTCAAATACCTAATCACAAAGCGGCAGGACGAGTGGAGGGCCGCCAAGTGAGGAAGGACAGAGTGGACCAGGCTCTGATGGCTCCGACGGCATCGCTGCATCCTGCCCTCCAGCACATTCTCTGCTCACGGCCCATCCAGTCGCGAGTGGAGTTGGACGAGAGGGAGAGGGCTCGCTCCAGGCTCTAGTTGGCTAACACTAGTTCTTGCCGACGTCTGTTGCCACCACCGTCTGTCCTCCTGGGTCCTCAGCAAGTTCGGCAAAGCCCACCGCAGTACCTCTGGTGACCTGCTCCAGACCGTTGCAGAGGGATAAGCAGCACATTCCCCTGGTTCCTAATTAAAAAGAAAAAAGTCTTTAAATGTTGTGTTGGGTTTGTCTTGTCAAGGGGGGCATGGCATGCAATCTTGTCAGCCGGTCCTGACTTGGAAGGGCTGCATATGTCTGCTGACTTGAGATGGTTTAGGAGTGTAAGGCCCGGCTTCCCTTGTCTAAATAGTCAACTTAAGGTGCCTCCCAGATGCAGGAACACAGCAGGTGCTCCTCATCCCACCAGTGCCCTTTCCGTTAATCAGCGGGGCACAGAGTTGCTCATCTCTTGGTCCAGTTCTAGGTTCTGCCTGAGCAGTGAAGTTTACGTGTGGCACTTATTTGTGCAGTTGCGGAATTAAAATTATTCACTGAAGCTGCAAGTCCCACAGATTGGAGTACAAGACTTCATTTGACTTGTAATGTTTGTTTTGTGATCCTGGGGATTGAGCCCAGGGCCTCGTGAGTGCCAGGCATGTGTTTTACCGTGGAGTCATCAAGAGCCTGCTTCCACATGTTACAAGATACTTGGGATATACGGTCTCTACATTCAATTCTGGCAGAGGAGTGGAGCAGGCAATGCAAATCGCCTCTGATTGACTGACAGGCTCAGGGAGGCTGTGACGTACCCGAGACCTCCGAGGAGTAAGCAGGGACTGACCAGGATAGTGACCCCATGAGGGAATCTAACTGCATACAGGAGATGAGTAGAGTAGCAGAGGCACTGTAATCCTGTTGTCCTCAAGGATGCTGTCCGGAGACTCGGAGGCAGGGCTTGTACTGGGTTGGGTGGTCAGTATTAGCAAGTTCCTTGGTGCGGACCTGTCATCTTGTCATTCACCTTGCAGAAGCAATGGAGTATCTCGGGCATCCCTGGTTGGGGTTAGAGAAGTGATGATAAATTAAAAAGTTTTAGCCTTCAAGGAGCTTATTGTCTGAAGAACTTATATGTAAACAGACACTTGGAAGACAAAATGGCAAGAGAGAAGTTTAAATCTAGAACACTCCTAGGGGATGTATGAATCCTAGTTTAACCTCAGAGCTGGAGTAGGAGCAGAAGAAGTGGCGTCCAAGTGGCACCTGGACAGATCGGCTAAGTAGGAGAGAAGGGAGGGGCTATTTGAGGCCAAAGCTTGGAGGTGGGAGAGTGTTTGGCAGGAATGAAACGGGTGAGGCTGCAGCTGGGAAGGGGAGCAAGGGCTGGGGCTTAGAGCAGTGCTCAGGGCTTCAGAGTTTACCCTGAGGCGAAGCAAAGCATTACGGGCTTTAAAGGAGGCGGGCGTGATCAGATCCAGCATTTAAATAGATCACTTGGGCTCCTGGAGAAGGATTAGGGGGAGCGTGACTGGACAGGCAGGCAGACCATGTAGAGGCTGTTAGAGTCAGCTGCACGGTGGTCTGCACCCGGACTGACGAGGAGGCTGGAGTCCCGTCAGGGTTAGAGGAGCAAGAGATTTAGTGACGGAATAAATCCTGTCGTCCTTCCCCTGACAGCTCTTCAAGCATCTGTGGAGAATTGTGTCTGAATGCACTCGAAAGCAACTGTCAAGGCCACAGCGGGGTCCCTGTGCTCTGCTTAAGTAAGCAGCCACCTCTCCGGTAGGGCGGGCAAGGAGAGATGCCAGGGGTGCTGAGTGGTGGCCAAAGGAGCTAGGGTTGCCTCTGGATGCGGTCGCTGCCATGCTATTGCTGCAGAGGTCATGTCAGGCGGTTTACTGGGGAAACATGAGTGAGGAGCTGCTCCCCGGCATGGACCAAGCCCCCCAAAGCAGGAGCAGCTGTCTGGACCAGTCAGCTATCTGGAAAGACTGCTGATGAAATAGCTGATGTGCATTAGGCACAGTGACGTGAGCCTCATTTTGTAAGAAGGGGATGAGGGGGTATTTTCTAAAGAAATGGTGGCCCCTAGAGACCCTCTTGGCTCTAATGCTGTTCACAAATAGGAATTACAAAAGTGACCTTCCAACTTCCAGTTGTGGTCTGGCTTCCAGAGGATGGTTGGTTCACTTGGTATGTGTTTCTGGGGGGAGGGTGGGTCTCAGCCTAACCACTAGAGACAGAATAGTGTCATAGGGCCAAGGTCTAAGATGCCAGTGACCAGGTGCCTGGGTCATCTCTATAGAGCTCACTACACCCAAGAGACCAAGGGGTATTTGTTGGCCCAGAAGGTCCAGAGCCTTTTGAATAAGTATGTTCGTGGCATACCTTGACCCCATTCCAAGTAGGCAGTTTCATCACACTGCCATACACCAGGGAAGATGGAAAAAAATAAGCTGCAATTTGGCTAGAGAAAACCCTGAATTGGAGAGATACAGCCATTGTAAATAAGTAATCCTGAAATGACAAAGGGCACTTGGTTCACAGTGGCAGGGCAGAAGAGGTTAAGTGTAGGTCAGTTGACAGAAAGGTGACTAGCAAAGAAGAAGACTTCTGTAACAGCAAAATCATGCTAACTTTGTAGAATTTAGAAAACAGTTTAACAAGGAAATGCCTCCGATCCTAGAGAATGCGGCTTTGTTGTTGTTGATTTATTTTGCAGTTCTGGAGACAGCCCAGTGCATTGTGCGTGCTAGGCAAGTGCTGCACTATTTGTGTGTGTGTGTGTGTGTGTGTGTGTGTGTGTGTGTGTGTGAGAGAGAGAGAGAGAGAGAGAGAGAGAGAGATAGAGAGAGAGAGAGAGAGAGAGAGAGAGAGAGAGAGAGAGGTCTCACTTTGTAGCCCAGGCCTGCCTCAAACTCACAGTCTTCCTGCCTCGGCCTTCCCAATACTCAGAATATAGGCATGTACCACCAACTTAGACTAGAATATGATGCTTTGATGTCATTTTTCAATGTATAAGTTTATATTTGTGTATGTGGGGGTGGGGGTGCTGAGGATTGAACCCGGGCCCCTGTGCATACTAGGCAAGCTTGCCACTGAGGTACATCCACAAATAATTTTTATTCATTTTTGAGAGTAAGATTTCCCTGTAACCAGCTCCTTCTATATAATAGAATATAGTATCCATTTTTCCACGTCGTTAAATTCCTTCTGCCTCTTCAATGTGAATGGTCACACAACACTGTGCTCTATAAATGTCCACTCTGTCCTCTGTATAGCTTTACCAGAAACAAGCATAGTGGCGGAAGTTAGACTCTGGATGAGCACAAGCAGATAGCCAGATAGAAAGAGGACGGGAGCAGAGTAACACCACAGTGGAGGTGAGCTGGTGGAGCTGAGTGAGCCGGACTACAGGGACGCCAGGGTCCGGACGTCCCTTAGAAGCCATGTTGCTTTTGCGTCTCTCCAGGAGCCTTACTGTACTCTACAGCATCTTTGTCTGCTTGCCTGGCCCTGCTCTTGTGTTCGGGACTTGCTGCTGGGCGAGGCCATCAGGACCATTGCCCCAAAGCTCCTTCTAAGACAAAACCCATGGTCTCCTGCTTCCGCTCAGGGGTCCTGTCACATGCCTGTTCTTGTTGCCTTTAGAATAAAAGCCAGGTTCTTCATCGTGGCCAACAGGATTTTACATTGTTTGGCCCAGCCTCTCTAACCCCAGCTGCCTCCAGAAGGTACGGCACTAACACAAACTGCAGTCGCTTCGAAACCTATGCTCCTCCTGGGTCTGCCTTCATTACTTTGAAAGGCTTGATGGGCAGTCTGTGTACACTGTCAGAAACGCCACACAGCAGTCGTTGAGGTTGGATGTGCAATAATGGGTTAGACTGGTGGCCAGAGGTAGAGTCCTGGGGCTTCCACAGTAGAGCTCCGTCAACAACCTGGAACACCCCACCCCACCAGCACCCTTACCACCCACATTGACTTCATGCACTCGAGACAATTTCTTTAGAAATGGAGGCATTTAAGTCTCCCTGTAATTTCCACCTCTGATGGCTCCTTCTGCCTGCTGGGGCAGCACAGAAGCCACTAATCCCCCTCTCCTCTGACAGCCCTTCAAAAATATTGAGAGAGCTGTCATGTCATCCAGGGAGGGTCGGAGCACAGAGTCTGGAAGTCGGTTCGAGGAGCTTGGACTTCGCGGCTAACAGGACTTGACTGAAGAAATGTGTGAAGCCAGACTCAGGACAACGCAGAAGCAGGGGCTCTAGCTGAGGGCGTCTGGGCCATCACCTCGACAGAGGTGACACAGGAACATTGTCACTCGGGTGGGAACCTGTGCTGGGTTGTCTTGTACTCTTGACTGTGTGTCTCCCATAGACAGCTCCCAAGACAGTGTCATGGTCTTTTGACTTTCTGCACCCAGACTAGACCTACCTGACTGGAAGAGTTGTGATCAGACACCAAGATTTACGAGCAGACATGCTGCTCTCGCCCTCAGGATGGGCCATTTTCCCCTTCGGCCCAGGACGGAGCAGACAAGGGTGCAGCAGCAGCCACTGGGCCTGTGTGAGGGTTAGTGCTATGTGTCACTGCTGTGACCATGTGGGGCTGTGGTCTCCAGTTATTCAAAGTGACGACACTTAGGAAATGATGCGGCCCAAGTGGAAATATAAACACCTATAAATACGAACAGAGTGACGGCAAAAAGGGACAGTGCTGGGTCTGTAGGATTCAGCTGAATGTGGCGGCCGGTGTCCTCAGGTTACAGAGGAGGGGATTGTTGGACAGCTTTCCACTTTTGGAGACGGCAGGTGTTTTTTGTTGTTGTTGGGTTTTTTTGTTGTTGTTGTTTTGTTTTTGTTTTTTTCTTTTTTTGAGATAGAGTTTTTCTGTGTAGCCCTGCTTATCCTGGAACTCGCTCTGTAGACCAGGCTGGCCTCGAACTCACAGAGATCCACCTGCCTCTGCCTCCCCAGTGCTGGGATTAAAGGTGTGCGCCACCATGAAAGGCTTTAAAATAAGACTGACCTTCCTATTTAAGGCCCTCAACGTCCCAGCACCTTATCTAAGCTTCTAAGAGAGATTTTTAAAAAGGAAGTCACTGACATGATCTCGGGGGCTAGCACATTCATGTTTTGCCAGGCTGTCCTGGACAGGACACTCCTGATGCTGTTGGGGTCTTGAGCCTGAAGTCTGCCTGGAAGCAGCCTGGAAACCTAGGCAGGGTGGGTTC